ATCCATACTCTTTGATTCTATTCGGTAAAGTCACACAGCTTAAAGGACGCGACCTGGGCTTAGCTGTTTTCACTCCAACGCCGTCCTCTGGACAGTCCGGTCCCTTCACCTGATGAAGGCCACTTGTGTTGTGGCCGAAACGTCGTGATTTTTTGTTTTATTTTTTTTACCTACGTGGTGACTTTACCGAATAGATCATTCACACAGCTCGTGGTGAGCAGAAGCGATGTCACGTGAGGCCTTCTTTTGCCGGTATCAAAGTATGAAAAATAAGAAATAAAGGCTTTTAACCATACTCTTTGGTTTGGTTCTATTCGGTAAAAGTCGCGTAGGTATAAGATATAAAAAATAAATCACGGCGTTTCGATTGCCACACAAAGCAATCATCATCATCAGGTGGGAAAATCAGAGCAAGCTTCGAATCTAAATGAAAGGTTTTACCCTTTCTGGCAAGCAAAACTAGAGGTGTGTTAAAAGATGTTCAAACACCACGTAGATTCCTTTCGCAATAAATCAAATTACTCAATTAAACACGCAGCCTTCCCCGACCAACATGGCCGCATCAACAGCGCGACACACCCCCTGGACCCATCAATGCCTCTGCAAACTTTCCCTGACCAACATAGATGCCACCGCCAGCATCCTTCCCGAACCAAGATGGCCGCGACAATAGCACGACCCACCCCCTCTGCCCCATCACTGACTTGCACCCTTCCTTGACCAAGATGGTCGCCGCGTCAGCATTAATCCCTCCGCCCCATCACATCCTTTCGCACGCTTCCATGACCAAGATGGCCGTCGCGTCAGCATGAATTCCCCCGCCCAATCACAGACTCTGCGCCCTTCCTTGATCAAGATGGCCGCGAAAGCAGCACACCATACCCCCCGCCCCATCACTTCCTCTGCACATTTCCCGGACCAAGATGGCCACCGCGTCAGCGTGAATCTTACCCCGCCCCATCACAACCTCTGCACCCTTCCCTGACCGAGATGGTCATCGCGTCAGCAAGCCACCCTTCCCTGACCAAGATGGTCATCGCGTCAGCAAGCCACCCTTCCCTGACCAAGATGGTCATCGCGTCAGCAAGCCACCCTTCCCTGACCAAGATGGTCATCGCGTCAGCAAGCCACCCTTCCCTGACCAAGATGGTCATCGCGTCAGCAAGCCACCCTTCCCTGACGAAGATGGTTATCGCGTCAGCAAGCCACCCTTCCCTGACCAAGATGGTCATCGCGTCAGCAAGCCACCCTTCCCTGACCAAGATGGTCATCGCGTCAGCAAGCCACCCTTCCCTGACCAAGATGGTCATCGCGTCAGCAAGCCACCCTTCCCTGACCAAGATGGTCATCACGTCAACAATCCACCCTTCCCTGACCAAGATGGAGGAACACCCCCCACCTCTGCCTCCCCCCCCCTCCCCCCTCGCACTGTAACCACGCGTGCGCGAATTCTCCACGGGACGTTTTAAAAACCACTCCGCGTGTTAACACTAAAATCTCCGTTATACTCCAACCCATCATCCGACAAAAAACAACAACAAACAAACAACAAACAATGGAGGCTGCCGTGCGACTGGCGTTTCGCGGTTGCGCGGTGTGGGCCCTCCGCCGTCTCCCGTGCCGGCTCGCCGGCTTCCCCTCGCCCTCGCCGGGGCCCGGGCAGGGGCCGCCCGGTAGGGAATCTAGGCGAGGCCGAGGCCCCCCGCCGGTGTTTAGGCCGCAGCCCTCGGCGTGGCTCCACGCGTCCTCGCCGGGATTCGGGGGCCCCGGGAGGGGTGCGGGGAGACGGGGACCCCGCGGGGGGGGAGGAGGCGGCGAGGAGGAGGGGGATGAGGAGGAGGAGGATGAGGAGGGAGACGTGGGGAGAATGGACCCTGACGAGGAGATGTACAGGTGCGTGACGGGGTGAGGTGAGAGGTAGGGGAGTGAGTGGTGTGGTGAGTGGGGATGGGTAGGGGAGTGAGTGGTGTGGTGAGGTGAGAGGTAGGGGAGTGGGTGGCGGGGTGAGGTGAGAGGTGAGAGGGGTAGGAGGGTGAGTGGTGGGGTGAGGTGAGTGGGGAGGAAGGGGAGTGAGTGGTGAGGTGAGTGGTAGGGGAGTGAGTGGTGTGGTGAGTGGTAGGGGAGTGGGGTGAGAGGTGAGAGGGGTAGGAGAGTGAGTGGAGGGGTGAGGTGAGAGGTAGGAGGGTGAGTGGTGTGGTGAGGTGAGTGGTGAGGTAGGGGAGTGAGTGGTGTGGTGAGGTGAGTGGTGAGGTAGGGGAGTGAGTGGTGTGGTGAGGTGAGTGGTGTGGTGAGGTGAGTGGTGAGAGGGGTAGGGGAGTGAGTGGTGTGGTGAGGTGAGTGGGGAGGGGTAGGAGGGTGAGTGGTGGGGTGAGGTGAGTGGGGAGGAAGGGGAGTGAGTGGTGGGGTGAGTGGTAGGGGAGTGGGGTGAGAGGTGAGAGGCAGGAGAGTGAGTGGTGAGGTAGGGGAGTGGGTGGTGGGGTGAGGTGAGTGGGGAGAGGTAGGGGAGTGAGTGGAGTGAGGTGAGAGGGGAGTGGAGTGAGATGAGTGGGGAGTGGAGTGGAGTGAGTTGAGAGGCGTGAGATGAGAGGGGAGTGGAGTGAGGTGAGAGGGGAGTGGAGTGAGATGAGTGGGGAGTGGAGTGAGATGAGAGGGGAGGGGAGTGAGATGAGAGGGGAGTGGAGTGAGTTGAGAGGGGAGTGGAGTGAGATGAGAAGGGAGTGGAGTGAGATGAGAGGGGAGTGGAGTGAGATGAGAGGGGAGTGGAGTGTGATGAGAGGGGAGTGGAGTGTGATGAGAGGGGAGTGGAGTGAGTTGAGAGGGGAGTGGAGTGTGATGAGAGGGGAGTGGAGTGAGTTGAGAGTGGAGTGGAGTGAGATGAGAGGGGAGTGGAGTGAGATGAGAGGGGAGTGGAGTGTGATGAGAGGGGAGTGGAGTGAGTTGAGAGTGGAGTGGAGTGAGATGAGAGGGGAGTGGAGTGTGATGAGAGATGAGTGGAGTGTGATGAGAGGGGAGTGGAGTGAGATGAGAGGGGAGTGGAGTGAGATGAGAGGGGAGTGGAGTGAGTTGAGAGTGGAGTGGAGTGAGATGAGAGGGGAGAGGAGTGAGTTGAGAGTGGAGTGGAGTGAGATGAGAGGGGAGTGGAGTGAGATGAGAGGGGAGTGGAGTGAGATGAGAGGGGAGTGGAGTGAGATGAGAGCTGAGAGGTAGGAGAGTGCGTGGAGGGGAGTGGAGTGAGATGAGAGGGGAGTGGAGTGAGTTGAGAGGGGAGTGGAGTGAGATGAGAGGGGAGTGGAGTGAGATGAGAGGGGAGTGGAGTGAGATGAGTGGAGTGTGATGAGAGGGGAGTGGAGTGAGATGAGAGGGGAGAGGCAGGAGAGTGAGTGGAGGGGAGCGCATTACCGGGTTCTAACTCGGCAGCCGCCCTGGTTAATCCAGTGATGTTGTGATTGAGCTGCTCCGGTGCGGTTTGCAGGTTCCTACGGAGTCACCGCAAGGCGGTGAGGGAGCATGGCATGCGGAGACACTTCGACCCGGGGCCTCCAGAAAGGCGCCTCACCTGGGAGGCCATGGAACACATGAGGTGACGGGTGACACCCTGGGTCATAGCCGCAGCAACAACAACAACACAACAACAACACCGCCACAGCAACAACACAACAACACCACCGCCACAACAACAACAACACCGCCACAACAACAACCATCACCACAACAACAACACAACAACAACAACCATCACCACAACAACAACACCACCACAACAACACTACCGCCACAACACCACCGCCGCAACAACACCACCGCCACTACAACAACACCGCCACAACAACAACAACACCACCACAACAACAACAACCATCACCACAACAACACCACCGCTACAACAACACCACCACCACAACAACAACACCACCACAACAACACCACCGCCATAACAACACTACCGCTACAACAACACCACCGCCACTACAACAACACCACCGCCACAACAACACCACCGCCACTACAACAACACCACCGCTACAACAACACCACCGCCACAACAACACCACCGCCACAACAACAACACCACCGCCACAACAACAGCACCGCCACAACAACACCACCGCCACAACGCAACCATCACCGCAACACTACCACCACCACCACACCACCACCACCACACCACCGCCACAACGCAACCATCACCGCAACACCACCACCGCAACACCACCACCGCAACACCACCACCACACAACCGCAACTACCACACTATCACCACCACCACCACAACACCACCGCTACCGCCACCACCACCACAAACACCACCATCGCACCGCCACAACTACCACAATCATCGCAACCACTGTCACCATCATCGCAAAGCCACCGCTGCCGCTATCACCGTCATCACCGCCATCGCCGCCAAAACCACTGTCGCCATCATCAGTAACATCATCAGTATCACTACTACTACAACCACCACCGCCACAATCACGACCATCGTTATCACAGCACCACCACCACCACCTCCACCACGACCCTGCTAACCACAATATCACCACCACCACATTGTTACGAACCGCAGCACTGCGAACCCGCACCGCCATCAGCACTTATTTATTTTAGCGGGTAAGGTGCCCCACGGAGCCATATATGTCTCTTCAAAAGTTACCCGGCCATCACAAATCAGTGGCTTACCGCGTGGAGCTTGAGAGTAGCTAGCGAAACGCTCTCTAAACGCGTGGTGACGTTGATTCTCAATGTGGAGGGGTTAAAACCGGAGGACACGGAGGAAAATCCACGCGACCAGGGACGGGGTGAGAGACACCGCAGACTCCAAATATACAGCAGCAGCAGCAGTAGGCGTAGTCAGGGTCGGGATTGAACCCCACGACCTCCTGTACACCGGGCGAGGTAGTCAACATCTCCTAGCCACCGTGATGATGATGATGATGAGAGAGAGAGACACGCAGATTCCAAATATACAGCAGCAGGCATCGTCAGGGTCGGGATCGAACCCACGACCTCCTGTGTACCAGGCGAGGTAGTCAACATCTCCTAGCCACCGTGATGATGATGAGAGGGACAGAGACGCAGACTCCAAATATACAGCAGCAGCAGCAGCAGCAGGCGTCAGGGTTGGGATCGAACCCACGACCTCCTGCGTACCAGGCGAGGTAGTCAACATCTCCTGTCAACAACAACAATAATAATAATAATCTCGGCACTGCTTGACTGCCCCACCACCACCACACCACCCTACCAACACTCAACCACCACCCCACCACCACCACCACTCCACCACCACCATCACTCCACCATCACCACCACCACCCTACCACCACCACCACACCACCACTCCACCCAACCACCACCACCGTGCTCACGACCACCACCACCACTCCACCATCACCACCCTACCTTCACCACACCACCACCACCCTACCACCCCACTACCACCACCACCCCACCACCACTCCACCCCACCACCACCACCCCACCACACCACCACCACCCAACCACCACCACCCCACCACACCACCACCCTACCACCCCACCACCACCACACCACCCCACCACCACACCACCACCTCGCTCACCACCACCACCACACCATCACCACCACCACCACCACCACCACCATCACCACCCCACCCCCACCACCACCAACCACCACCACCCCACCACCTCCACCCAACCACCACCCCACCACCACCACCCTACCACCCCACTACCACCACCACCACTCCACCACCCCACCACCACCACCCTACCACCACCACCACCACCACCCCACCACCACCACCACCTCACCACCACCACCGCCACCACCACCGCCACCCCTCCCCGGCAGGTTCCTGGCCCAGGAGTGTCCCGGCGAGTGGTCCGTGCCGCGCCTGGCCGTGGGCTTCGGCGTGCCGCGCTCTGTGGTGGTGCGAGTCCTGCGTGGCCGCTTCGCACCGCCAGACGCCCGGCGCGCCAAGCAGGACGCCGCCGCCGCGGCGGCGGCCGCGGCGGCGGCGCTGGCCAACGTGCCGAGAGAGCGGCGCCTCCTCCCCCCGCCTCTCGCGGCGACGACGCCGACGACGACGGCGATGACGACGACGACGACGACGATGACGACGACGATGGCGACGACGATGATGATGACTCCTCGCCACCGTCACCTCCTCGCCCGGCCCGGCGCCGCGCCGTTGAGGGGGCCGGCGTCGCCCGCGGGACGGCACGAGCTGCTGGGCGGCGGGGGCGGTGGATACGGTGGTGGTGGTGGTGGTGGTCGACACGGTGGTGGTGGTGGTGGTGGTGGTGGTCGACACGGTGGTGGTGGTGGTGGTGGTGGTGGTGGTGGTGGTGGACACGGTGGTGGTGGTGGTGGTGGTCGACACGGTGGTGGTGGTGGTGGTGGTGGTGGTCGACACGGTGGTGGTGGTGGTGGTGGTGGACACGGTGGTGGTGGTGGTGGACACGGTGGTGGACACGGTGGTGGACACGGTGGTGGTGGTGGTCGACACGGTGGTGGACACGGTGGTGGTGGTGGTGGTGGTGGCGTTGTGCCGCTAGGCCGGACTGCCCATGTGACTCCTCCTCCGCCATCTGCCTCTCGAGCTGCCGCTGCTGCCGCTACTGCTGCTGCAGCTGCTGCTTGTGGTGGCTACGGCGTCGGCGTGCCAGTGCGGAGGACGGCGCGGTTGGCAACCTCCTCCACCACCTCCTCCTCCTCCTCCTCCTCCCCCTCCTCCTCCTCCTCCTCCTCCTCCCCGCCGCCGCCGCCACCGCCCGCAAGCGCCAAAGCACCGTGCCCGCCGCCCGTGGCTGCCGTTGGCGCTGACGGTGACGGTGACGTTGACGGTGACGGTGACGTTGACGGTGACGTTGACGGTGACGGTGACGTTGGCGGTGACGGTGACGGCCTCGGCCGTGCCGAGGCGCCGCCGGGACGGCTGCCGAGCGCCGGGGAGCTGGAGCGGCTCGCCGACGAGCACAGCCGCAGGCCGCTGGCGCCGCCGGAGACGCGGCAAGCCGGACGAGACGTCCTGGACCACCGCGGCAACTTCCTGTACCGGATATGAGCTCCTCGGGGGGGGGGGGGGGGATGGGGGGGGGGAGATGGGGGGGGGAGATGGGGGGGGGAGATGGGGGGGGAGATGGGGGGGGGAGAAGGGGGGGGAGATGGGTGGGGAGATGGGGGGGGAGATGGGGGGGGGGGAGATGGGGGGGGAGAGATAAGGGGGGGAGAGATAAGGGGGGGAGAGATAAGGGGGGGAGAGATAAGGGGGGGAGAGATAAGGGGGGGAGAGATAAGGGGGGGAGAGATAAGGGGGGGAGAGATAAGGGGGGGAGATAGGTGGGGAATGGGGGAGGGGAGATGGGGGGGGAGATGTGGGGGGAGATGGGGAGTAGAAGGGGGGACAATGGGGGAGGGGGGTTTGAGGGAGGGGTAGAAGGGGGAGGGGGGAAGGCGGCAACTTGATTCGACTTGATTTTCGAAACGTCGGCCTTCATGAAATGTGCTCGCAACTCATTAAACTGTTACACGTGCCAGTTCAGTCCTCCGTGTGTATGGGGGTCTCTATGCATAGTCTATGGGTCTCTGTGTGAGTCTGTGGGTCTCTGTGTGAGTCTCTGGTTCTCTGTGTGAGTCTGTGGGTCTCTGTGTGAGTCTGTGGGTCTGTGTGAGTCTGTGGGTCTCTGTGTGAGTCTGTGGGTCTCTGTGTGGGTCTGTGGGTCTCTGTGTGAGTCTATGGGTCTTTGTGTGAGTCTATGGGTCTGTGTGTGAGTCTATGGGTCTCTGGGTGAGTCTGTGAGTCTCTGTGTGAGTCTGTGGGTCTCTGTGGGTCTCTGTGTGGGTCTGTGGGTCTCTGTGTGGGTCTGTGGGTCTCTGTGTGAGTCTCTGGTTCTCTGTGCGAGTCTGTGGGTCTCTGTGTGAGTACTCTCTGGTTATTTCGGTAAAGTCACGTAGTGGGTCAAAATAAAAGTGAAATAAAGTTAATCAAATCGCGACGTTTCCGAGGCAACGCAAGCTTCCGTCATCAAGGTGTAGCTGACACAGCAACATTACTGTAGAGCAGTGGTTCTTAACCTGGGTTCGATCGAACCCCAGGGGTTCGGTGAGTCGATCTCAGGGGTTCGGCAGAGCCCCCGCCACGGAGGTCCGGACACACTTGAATTATTGTGTAAATTTGTGATGACACACACGGCCCGCTTGGCCATCACTGGCTGCAGATGATCATGCTACACTGCTTGGCCAATCAGCGCTGCGGGGAATTTAGTGCGTACTCAGTAGTCAACGTGTGACTGTTGTTGTCGTACGTCGTGTGATTTCTTTAATATTTTATCCATACTAACTATGTCGGGCAAAAGAAGAAAGTGGTCGGACGAATATGTACAACATGGATTCTCATGTATCACGGAACGTGATGGGAGTGAGCGTCCTATCTGCATGATTTGCAACGCCAAGTTGAGCAACTCTAGTCTTGCACCGGCAAAAACTAAAGGAACACTTCTTGAAGCTGCATGGAGACGGGGAATACAAGAACACAACACTTGCTGAATTCAGGGTGAAGTGAGCCAGATTCGATGAAAGGGCCACTCTGCCTGCTCTTGGATTTGTACCTGTTAACAAACCGATCCTGACAGCATCGTACGAAGTTGCTTACCTGATCGCAAAGCAGGGCAAGCCACACACCATTGGTGAAACACTTGTGAAACCAGCTGCATTAAAGATGGCGAATCTGATACTCGGAACAGCGGCCGAAGGTAAATTATCCCAAATTCCCCTTTCAAATGACACCGTCAGTGACAGAATAGAAGACATGAGTAAAGACATCTTGGCTCAAGTAGTCGCGGATCTGATTTCAAGCCCGGCAAAATTCAGCCTTCAACTCGACGAAACCACAGACGTTTCTGATCTAAGCCAGCTTGCTGTTTTTGTACGCTATGTGAAAGACGACATGATAAAAGAAGAGTTTTTATTTTGTAAGCCTCTTACAACAACAACGAAGGCAGCCGATGTGAAGAAGCTTGTGGATGACTTCTTCAGAGACAACAATCTTTCATGGGATATGGTTTCTGCAGTTTGTACGGACGGAGCTCCAGTCATGCTGGGAAGAAAGTCTGGTTTTGGTGCGCTAGTAAAGGCCGATGCACCACACATCATTGTGACGCATTGTATTCTGCACAGGCATGCGTTGGCAACAAAAACCTTACCTCCAAAAATGGCAGAAGTATTAAAAACTGTGGTGGAATGTGTGAACTATGTGCGAAAAAGTGCTCTGAGGCACCGCATCTTCAGTGAGCTGTGTAAAGAAATGGGCTCTGAATTTGAGGTACTTCTGCTCCATTCTAATATTCGGTGGTTATCCCGGGGACAGGTGCTGAATCGTGTTTTTGCCATGCGTGTGGAATTAGCCCTGTTTTTGCAAGAGCACCAACACTGCCATGCAGATTGCTTCAAAAATCCTGAGTTCATTCTCATTTTAGCGTACATGGCTGATATATTCGCAGCTCTCAATCATCTCAATCAGCAGATGCAGGGTGGTGGAGTCAATATCATGGAAGTGGAAGAACACCTGAAGGCTTTTCAAAAAAAGCTACCGTTATGGAAACGACGAACAGAGAACAATAACTTCGCAAACTTCTCGCTTCTGGACGACTGTGCAAGTAAGATCGAAGATGTGTCTGGAATCGGAGATATTTCTGTATCCACGGAACTGAAGCAAACAATTGCCACGCACTTAGATGAGCTTGCAAAGTCTCTCGACGGATATTTCCCTACAAGAGAGTCATATCCAGCATGGGTGAGACAGCCGTTCACGTTTGCTGTTGAAACAGCAGATGTCAATGATGAATTCCTCGACGAAATCATTGAAATTCAGCAGAGCCAGGTTCAACAGCAACTCTTCAGAACAACAACGCTCTCAACGTTTTGGTGTCGACAAATGAACAAGTATCCAGTTATTGCTAAGAAAGCCCTGGATTTTTTTATACCATTTGTTACAACATATCTTTGTGAGCAATCCTTTTCGAGGATGCTGGACATAAAAACGAAGAAAAGGAACAGACTTTGCTGTGAAAATGACATGAGAGTGGCACTTGCCAAGGTGAAGCCACGCATATCTGAACTGATCTCTCAAAGGCAACAGCAGAAGTCACATTGATTTCCAGGTATGTAATTTGTTGTGAGTTTATGCATTGTGTTGGTTTTATTCTTTGAACAAGGTAATGTTCATGCACGGCTCATTTTGTGCACCAGTAAAAAACATATCTATGTCTTGAATTTGAAAAAAATCACATTTTATTTTTCACTAAAGAGGGGTTCGGTGAATGCGCATATGAAACTGGTGGGGTTCGGTACCTCCAACAAGGTTAAGAACCACTGCTGTAGAGAGAGAGCTCTTTGTGGTAAGGGATTATTATATAGGGTAAAGAGGAGGGGGTGGAGGAGCCAGGGGGGACGGATGCAGGGTGGTGGAGGGTCTGCGAGGTAGAGTAGGATACGAGACAGCTTTGCGCGATTGAAACATTGCAAGTTCATAATATCCTCGTGATGGTCGTGTGTGCGGCTGGGAATTAAATACCGGAGATATGGACATGAATATAAACCATGAGGCAGTTCAAGTTTAGCGTGGTTAATAACGCGATCTTTTGATTTAAAGCTTTCGTGACTGCAGGGATTCATATTGATGGGTCTTTCGGTAAAGTCACCACGTTAGAAGGGAAACAATAAAATGGTAAAAATATAAAACAATAAAATTCTCACGACGTTTCGACTGCAACACAAGCAGCAATCACCATCAGGTGTGAAAACCACAGCAAGAACAATTTAAAGCATGTTTTAAGCTTTAAATCAAAATGCTTCAAATCGCTTTAAACTATTGTCATTGTAGTTGCGTGTTTAATGTGGCGCTGCACTCTGATGTTGTAGGAGAAAACATTTATTAAAATTTTTGATTTAAAGCTTTCGTGACTGCAGGGATTCATATTCTTGGTTCTTTCGGTAAAGTCACCACCACGTGGAAGGGAAACAATAAAATAATAAAAATATAAAACAATAAAATTATTATTCCTGGTTCTTTCGGTAAAGTCACCACCACGTAGAAGGGAAACAATAAAACGATAAAAATATAAAACAATAAAATTCTCACGACGTTTCGACTGCAACACAAGCAGCAATCATCAGGTGTGATGATTGCTCATCATCAGGTATGATGAATGCTTGTGTTGCAGTCGAAACGTCGTGAGGATTTTATTGTTTCCCTTCTACGTGGCTTTACCGAAACAACCAAGAATATAATAACATCTTTCCAATGATTGCTCAATTTGAATCCATCCTTTCTAGATTTAAAGCTTTCATGCCTGCAAGGATCCATACTCTTTGGTTCTATTCGGTAAAGTCACGTAGGTAAAAAATAAAACAACAAAAATCACGACGTTTCGGGACCAGGCTGTCTCGAGGACAGCGCTGGTCCCTTCACCTGACGAAGGCTGCTTGTGTTGTAGCCGAAACGTCGTGATTTTTGCTGTTTTATTTTTTTACCTACGTGACTTTACCGAATAGAACCAAAGAGTATGGATCCATCCTCTCGGTTGAAGTTACGTCTATGTTTTTATATCTGGATGGCTTCATGTACAAATCTTTGGTGGTATCCAGACGGCTTGGCAGAGTGCCTTGGTATCGGAGGAAACAATATCATGATAACCCACCGCTTTGTAACAATGATCGGCCACGGAAGAAGAATTCGTCCTACCGTGTTTCAAATCAGACTTGCGCTAGCGAATGCGGTCAGAAACATGCCGTTTCGTTTCCCCAATGTAACAATCACCACGAATGCAAGCCCGTTTATAGACACCGGGGTACTGTAAGTCAGGGATGACATCCTTTACGGATGGGATCAGATCACGAATTTTGTGTACTCTATTGAACCGGACCTGGATCTTGTGTTTGTTTTTGAATTTGGGAAATCTTCTTTGGTAACGCCTGCATATGTATGGTAACGTGATGATTTTGATCGAAGTATCAGGTGGTTGTTTCCTACAGACAGAATGTCCCAAAGAGCCATCAGGTCTCCTC